TCAGACAAGTCAAGACAAGATGATGCAAATTAGTCTGAAAGCTCCTGTTATACAGAACAGGAGCTTAAGTGTTGTCTGTCCTCGGGGCTGGGAGTGCCAAATCCCAAGTGCCGGAAAGATCGACCCGTAGCCCCCCTTCCCTGTTGAGGGTGGGGTTGTACATTCTTTCATATAAATCAGTTGCTTGAGTAACTGTTTTTTGGCGTATCGTATTACCTGGATGTCTAACCTTCATCGACACATCAAAGTACATTTTTAAATAAGGGGTCATTTTTTTAACCATGGCTGCATGGAAAAAACGAATTTTCCCAGGGTAACGGCTTAGTACTCGAAGAAGCTCAGAACCTAGTGTTTCCAAAATTTGAATTTAATCAAAATCGATGCGATAAGTTTATCGCTATCTTCGATGGCCCGAACACACCCACAACGCATATAGAACGTACCATCCCGGCGGTCAGGCGAAAACGCCACATAATCATCCGCGCGGACTAATGCCAGGAAGTCTTCGCTGGACCACCAACATTACGCCACCTATAAAGGCTACAACTAACAGGCTTTTCAGGAAATACAAATATATGTACACAGATATTACGATTCCAGGGATATCGCGGCCAAAACATACCGTTCAAAGTCACGTTTCCGGCGATTTACTGCGCACTTACTTAGACTCTGGTCAGAATTAAACTCCGATCCGGAACCTTAAGAGCTCTAACAAGCAGCCAAAACAAGATCTTAGACTAAAAGCCATTTTTTTCAACAAAACAAAAAGATAAATTACTCTCCAGCTGGAAAATACCAGGCTGAGCATTTATCAACACATACCAAAAAAAAGGATGTTTTCAGTGGATTTGGATGCGATTATGAAATAGACTTGCAGAAACAAACTGGGCCTTCTGGGCAGGCGCAATTCGGTGACCTTTGCCCTGTCATGGTCCCGAACTTGACGTTTGAATGATGACATCATCAAGAAAAATTGGAGCCGAGGAACTGGCCTGTATTGGCCCTGGAGCCATAATTGCATCCAAACCCACTGAAACATCCTTTTGGGGGCATTTTGGAAAGATATGTTTACAATGTCTGTCAGCACAAGTATGGCACTGATAGACACAGAAATGGCTTAACAGTAGCAATATGTCTGAAGACAAAAAATGGTGAAAACAGACAAAAAAAAACAATGCCAAACACTGGTCAGTCGGTAGAGAAACTTGGTTTGTCCTGTCCGGAACACAAATTTCCTAATTAAAAGATGAAAATTAACTTTTGGGGGCATTTTGGAAAGGTGTATTATACCCAAAATGGCTGCAATATGAACTGGCAATGTGTTCTGAAACATTCCTGCCCATATTACATTCCCAACTGGGTCTCAAATCGTAAAGCGATTTAATCAGGCGAAGTAACTCCATGTCTGCTAAGGCGAATAATCTACAATCAATACACAAGCTACAGGGGGCGTCGGTTTTACACGCAGACCTCCCGCTGGTCGGTCGTACCACTACCTTGGAGGTGGCAAAATGACTGTCGTAAAATGACTGGGGTCGGTAAAACCCTTATTAGCCGGCCTGTGGATCGGAGAATGGTAACCAGGCTAGTAACCTGGGACCGATTAAACGTCTCTAAGCCGGAATGTGGAGAATGGTAACCAGGCTAGTAACCTGGGACCGGTTAAACGTCTCTAAGCCGGAATGTGGAGAATGGTAACCAGGCTAGTAAACTGGGACCGGTTAAACGTCTCTAAGCCGGAATGTGGAGAATGGTAACCAGGCTAGTAAACTGGGACCGGTTAAACGTCTCTAAGCCGGAATGTGGAGAATGGTAACCAGGCTAGTAAACTGGGACCGGTTAAACGTCTCTAAGCCGGAATGTGGAGAATGGTAACCAGGCTAGTAAACTGGGACCAGTTAAACGTCTCTAAGCCGGAATGTGGAGAATGGTAACCAGGCTAGTAAACTGGGACCGGTTAAACGTCTCTAAGCCGGAATGTGGAGAATGGTAACCTGGATAGTAAACTGGGACCGGTTAAACGTCTCTAAGCCGGAATGTGGAGAATGGTAACCAGGCTAGTAAACTGGGACCGGTTAAACGTCCCTAAGCCGGAATGTGGAGAATGGTAACCTGGCTAGTAACCTGGGACAGGTTAAATGTCTCTAAGCCGGAATATGGAGAATGGTAACCAGGCTAGTAAACTGGGACAGGTTAAACGTCTCTAAGCCGGAATGTGGAGAATGGTAACCAGGCTAGCATGACAACGGCCGTTCTGGCGGTAAAAAAAAATACATTTCAAGAGAGTCGATCAATTGCTGATACTTTGATGTGTAAATATTCACACTTGGAATTGAAGTTTTAGAACTGCCTCAGCTCAGATGCACAATCGCTGCTTTTCTCTCATTCGGACGGACGGAGTGTTGTAATCGGCTGATTTTTCATGTTCGCAGTCAAAACACTGGGTTCTCTTTGTGTAATCGGCACGCAATTTTATACGCCGTCTGCGGGCATGCCCGTGTTGATGCACGAATGTGTATTTTTGCCGTTGCTGCTTTCGCGGTCAATGTAATATCGCAGACGCACCCCTACAATTACGAGGCGAATTGGAATGGTCCAGAAAAACGCGTTGTTTGGAATAGCAGTGGGGGGGGGTAAAAGTTCATGCAGATACGGGGTGGCTTTTATAAGTGGTTCCAGATGTTTTTGCCCATGGTTAAGAGATGCCAAGTTTTTTGGAAGATGTTCGCAGCCAAAACGCATTCTTCCGTACGTCGCATTTTTGTGTAATTTCGCATGTGGTGTGGCATTATGTCCGGGATGATGCACGTCTTTTTATTTTTACCGTAGCTGTTTTGATATTGGAGTAAATGGTTATTTTCGAAACATCCCCATGTCGTTGAAATGTTGTCGTCCGTTTATGTCACCGGTAGTAAGTCGCGGCGGGGCTGATGGGGCGGAAATGTGGGGTGGTCAGAGGTCAACATTAGGAAATGTTAATACCGATGACGTAATCCTATCGATTTCAAACTGGTCGGGTGTGGCGACCTAGTGGCGGCGTGTATTTAGTCACGTAGCAACTGGCCGGTCGTCCTAGCAACGACACATGGCCAATATTTTTGGGTTGGGCCGCTCCATAGTGTTAGTGGAGCAGCTCTTTGTAAACATGGACAATATTTTTGAGCAACCCATCAATGTGTTCTGCCTCGTGGTCGGATGTGGTCTGGGGCTGGTAAACCGCACATACAGTACTAGTAGATCGGGTAATTTTATGATTTGCTAGTTGTAAAGGCGTCGTGTAGTATGAGCCGGTATATGAAGAAGTAGCCTGTGTTACACAATCATGCTTTCGGCCGGATTGATGTGCAACTGTTACTAATTGCAGGGACTGCGCTAATGCCGACCAGTCGCGCTGTCCTGATACACCGCGAATGTGCGAGTGTTCCCTGTAGACAGTCCCGGGAGTCATTTTTTTCGCACATTCCAGGAGCCAAACCAAAATACGTTCATGAACCGAGTCAAAAAAAACGAAACGTGAAAATCGGATGATCGGACCTGATGTACATTTCTCTTTCTGTAGATTGTACACACAATACAAACATCTTTAGATAATCTGGCCATGGCAGGTAAAAAAAAAGTAACCCTGAATCATACTAGATTAGCGTAAATGCATGTTTATGCGTTCAAAACAAGAAAATAATTTGTTTCCCGGTATTAATCTCTTGAAACACGGCGCTGAATATTTACGCAAAAATATTTCGGGCATCGCGCGCCCTTCCCCGTTGTTTAGACTGTATGCAAATCTCGCGTCACGTGTCGGCATTTCGGATCTCTGATTGGTTGTTGCGTCTTAAGATGACTGAGCCGACGCGCGTTTAAACAATTTTTCTTTGTTCGATTTATCACACTTCACAGAGAATTGTCGCCAATGGCTACTTCTTTTTGTTGCAATATATAATACTTCACGGAGAATTGTCACCTATGGCTTCTTGTTTAGATTCGGCTCGCAAAGATGTTCACTTCTCTGCTGTCGTGGGGAGTACTAGTTGAGCAGAGCGTTTATATTGACATGTGTCAACAATGTATTGTCAAAAGAGGATCTGGATTACACGCAATTACCGCAACAATGTTTGAGGTTCAAAAGGTTAATGCTATGATTTTAAGGCTGCATTTCAAAGCAACAGCCCTAAGGCGCCCGGGAACGAAAATAGATGCACGCGGAAAAGTCGAAACCGTCTGTCGACATGAAATATGCATGGGGAAAACTAAGCTAACAATTATAAAACGGAACACGCTCACGATTATAAGACAGTGGCAAAATAATCCTGAACACGCCCACTTTTAACCCCGAGCATTAAGGGTCACTAAGGTATAACCCCCTGACAATGTTGTTGAAGAGCCTTCCATGTATGGCATAGTTTGCAACACGCGCACGTTGTTTTTTTTTTGGCAACACGTAGGTTTCCTACTTGTTGCGTAAGATACATTCTTCAATGGGTTCAGGCTTTGTCAGAAGCACACCATGCAAATCCATCTACATTTGTGGTGTGTGTGTATGTGTGTACATGTGTGTTTGTGTGTGTGTGTGTGTGTGTGTGTGTGTGTGTGTGTGTGTGTGTGTGTGTGTGTGTGTGTGTGTGTGTGTGTGTGTGTGTGTGTGTGTGTGTGTGTGTGTGTGTGTGTGTGTGTGTGTGTGTGTGTGTGTGGACACTGCTTGGATTGGATACTGCCTTGCCACCGTAGGATCTACTTGGAGATCGGCAGTTCTCGTCAATTCCGCCGGTGGCGCACATGTATCATTTTACAACAGCAGGAGCGGTGCGACCTCGCCCGTTGAAGGACACCTTTAGCCCGAGGACGTTTTACCGGTTCCAGCCAATTCAAGTGTACTGAGGCGAAAAATCTACAATCCAACCACTAAACTACATGGGAGCGTCCGTTTTACACGTGAAAGGGAGTGTCGTGCACTACTTGGGAAGTGGCGTGCATACTGAACCGTCCATTAAAATGCCCGTCGTAGGCGACCGTCACGGGCAGAAAAAAGCTGTCCTACGACTTCGGAAATTTATGTAGGTTTGTCCTTCTATACATCGGGCCTAAAGAATACGATAGTACAGCTTGGAAGTGTTGCATGCACACCCTAACGTTGACGTCGTCGTCACGTCCTACAGGTTGGCGCTTAAACAGACCACAAAGTCGGCTCAGCCTCAACACGCGCTCCCTGTCCGGGGGCAGCACAACAGACTGCGACATGCTAGCCGGGTTGCGAGACCACCGCAGGCTCGCTCCCCGGTATCTCCTACGGCGCTGGGAGTACTGCCCGCCCGCCCAGGTCCAGTAACTAGCGCACGATGGGGTAATTTACGAGGAAGGTTTCAATTAGTCCATTAACTAGCGCACGATGGGTTAATTTACGAGGAAGGTTTCAATTAGTTCGACTACAGGATTAGCCTCCTTCACAGACTTCTGATGCAGCGGCGTTATTTTTCTTCGGGGCGCGACGCGAGTTATGCCGCGGGGACGGTTTTGCCACCGAGGGATTGTGCGGAAACCGCCTCTCTCCGGCAAAATCCCTCGGTGGCAAAACCGTCCTCGGTGGCATAACTCGCATCGCTCCCCGAAAAAAAAAAGAATTAAACCGCCGCATCAGAAGTCTGCAAAGGATGCTACTACAGGACGACAATAATCAGGAAGGACAACTGGAAAGATCAAGCGTGTCAGGAGAGAACTGAGGCCGGTAAAACACCCCTAAGCCGGCCTGTGGAAAACGGTAACAAGGCTACAGGATGCCCAAGTCACGTCTTCTTTGAATTGGCAAAAGGTAGTCTCTAAGCAGGACATATTGTGACTACATCATTGGCAGTCCTATATCCAATACGCTACCTGAATTTGGCTGGCGAAAAAAATATACATAAAGAAAGACCTATAAAAACACCTCAGGTGGGGTCGTGTGGCGCAACGGCAGCGTGCGCGACTCGGAATCAAGAGGTCCCGGGTTCGAGTTCTGACATGCCACCGATCTTGTGCCCTTGCGAAAGGCACTTTACACGACTTTCCCTACTAGACTCAAGTGAAAATAAGTATTGTCTGTCCAGTATACGTTTCTATGTGCGGGACACAACACCAGCAACAGTTGCCATTGTTCCGCGTGTATTGCATTGCTGCAATTTCAATGAAAAAACACCCGGGTTCAACAAGTCAAATATAAGCCGAAGCCTGAATTTTTAACTTCTGCTCAGTAGGAAAAAAAACAACAACACGAACAACAAACGTAGTTTGAGATAGATTTCCGACTGGACTAGTTTTATACCATGAGAAAACGGGTCCAAGTCCAATACTTGCCCTTCTAAATTAACGTGTGTTGGATTTTGGCAAGCCGGCGATACAACCCACTTGCCATGTTATACATTCGCTGGACGCAAAACAAAATGGAAAAAAAAATGGTAGCATGAGATCTTTTATCTGAAGTACTACTAGTATCCTGGTGAAAAACAAACCGTCGTGGCTCCCCGCTATTTCTCCGGCGCTAAGTGTGCGTCCTCCCGCCCAGCCTCCCACCCAGCGCACGCTAGGGGTTTCGCCGCGAGAACGGGACGGCAATATTCCAGTAATTACGTTTAGAAAGATCGACTGCCAGAGGCCTGTTAAACAAACTGGGTCCAAAATAATCCCAAACCGTCTAATAAATAATGGTGTTCATGCCACTAAAGTAGGGGTAGCTAGCTAAAGCACAAAAAGAAGGTGAAGTTGACATTCAAATCTAACAACACTCTGCGGATAACCTTGAATGTAACTGCCGAATTGATTGGAAGCAAAAATAAAACGGTGAAGTGTATTTAAACTTAAAGTGGAGAATGGTAACCAACTTTGAGCGGGGGCCGTTAACACATCACTACATGCCCCCGGTATCCAATACGCCGCCGGTTGGCGAAAAAAAGGCAGCGGCACAAGAAAGAAACACACAGGCCATAAAACGCATACAAGCTAAATTTAATCTAATTTAATCTCTGCTAGGAGTGTAGGAAAAACACAACACGGGTGTCTGCCATAAAAACTGAAGAAATCAAACATACAACGTAGAAATGTGCGAGTACTCGACTCACAGTTGTAGGTTGTTGGCTGTAGCTGTAGGGTTTGTCGGTAGGTTGTGTGTTGAAAAAAAGCGGTGTGCGCACTGTCTGGAGACGGTCGGGTCGGCTGGGACTGTCTGGTCGACTCGGACTGTCGCTTCGACTGGGATGGTCGCGTCGACTGGGACGATCGGGTCGGCTGGGACGATCGGGTCGGCTGGGACGATCGGGTCGGCTGGGGCTGTCTGGAGACGGTCGGGTCGGCTGGGACTGTCTGGTCGACTCGGACTGTCGCTTTGACTGGGATGGTCGGGTCGGCTGGGGCTGTCTGGTCGACTGGGACTGTCGCGTCGACTGGGACGATCGGGTCGGCTGAGACGGTGGCGTCGGCTGGGACAGTCGGGTTGGCTGTGAGTTACAGCTGATCCGCGGTGTGCCGCAAACCGCAGACTTGTCCGCCTTTTATAGCCTCCATGGCTCCTTACACCCACGTCTGACGCTACATCACGCCACGCTAAAATGACATCATGGTCCCTCTGGCGGTTGCGTGGTCGGAGTCTGTAGTAGTCTAAAAGGGCAAGTAGGACAGATCCACTAGGAGAAACTCTTACAGACCATTGAGGGTCTAACTGACCACTAGATTAGTCGCCCAACATCTCGTGATGGCCAGTTGCCCTATTTGTTGATTTTTTTTGTTTGTTTTTTTCTTAAAGGAGTCTGATGGACACCACAGGACCCCTGTGAAGGAATGGAACGTGACCGTAATTTTACGTTGGCCTTCAAAAATCAAAATGAAAGGTCATTGCGTGGGCTGCCTGGGTGTCTGGTTTGGAGCGTCTGTGACATTTTGTTCTTACTGCGAAGGCGTAATTACTTTAATCGTTCTGTTTATCACAAAATCCTTCAAGAAACATTAACGACATGTAACAAGTATATATAATAAAACCTATGGTATGTGTAATTACAAACTTGTTCTAGTAAACTCCTCCCCAATACATTTTACAAACTTACATTTTTGTATGTATTTGTCAGTGTGTGTGTGCATGTGTGTGTGTGTGTGTGTGTGTGTGTGTGTGTGTGTGTGTGTGTGTGCGTGCGCACGCGTGTATGCATGTTATGTATGTGTGTATGTACATTACAATCCATGTATGCCTGTTCGTGCATGTCTCTGTGTGTTTGTGTGTGTGCATGAGTGTGTATGTGTGTATGTATGTGTGTATGTATGTATTTATGTATGTATATATATATATATGTGTGTGTGTGTGTGTGTGTGTGTGTGAGTGTGCATGAATGTGTGTGTGTGTGCATGCGTGTGTGTGAGAGTGTGTATGAGTGCGTGTGTGTGTGTGTGTGTCTGTGTGTGTGTGTGTGTGTGTGCATGAGTGTGTATATATGTGTGTGTGTGTGTGTGTGTGTGTGTGTGTGTGTGTGCGTGTGTGTGTGTATTCACATATGTGTGGGTTAATCCCATGCAAGTCGTAATATAAGTCAACTACAAGAAAAGGCTAATGAGTACCAGATCCCACTCTCTATATTTCATTTGACTATCGCCATTCCAGACATTCCATCGCCCTTCTGCAAGACCATGGAGCAACATCCAT